TTTTGAGGGGGAATTGAGGGAGTTTGGGGAGATTTTGGGGAGTCCTGAGGAGTTTGAGGGAAGGAATTGGGGGAATTGGAGGGTTTGAGTGGGATTGAGGGGAATTTGGGGATTTGAGGGATTTGGGGGGATTTGAGGGGATTTGGGAGATTTGGGGGATTTTGGGGGCTCCTGAGGGGTTTTGGGGATTTTGAGGGGCGTTTAAAGGGGCTGTAGGGGGAGATTTGGGCATTTGAGGGGATTGGGGTCCTGAGGGGTTTGAGGGGATTGGGGGACTTGGGGGTCGAGGGGTTTGGGGGGAATTGGGGAGTTTGGAGAGGTTTGGGGGATTTGGGGGAGATTTGGGGGAATTTGGGGGATTTGGGGGTCCTGAGGGGTCTGGGGGGATGCGAGGGGGTTTGAGTGGTATTTGGGAGATTTGGGGTGATTTGAGGAGGATTGGGGGATTTTGGGCGATCCTGAGGGAGTTTGGGGGAGGAATTGGGGAAATTTGGGGGATTTGAGGGGTTTGAGGGAGATTTGGGGATTTTGAAGGGGGATTTGAGGGGGCCCTGAGGGGGCTTTGGGGGGGTTGGGGAGATTTGAGGAGATTTGGGGCTCCTGAGGGGATTTGAGGGGAATTTGGGGGCTTTGAGGGGATTTGAGGGGAATTTGGGGAGTTTTGAGGGGATTGGGAGGGATTTGGGGGTTTGGGGGTCCTGAGGAGTTTGGGGGAAAATTGGGGAGTTTAGGGGATTTGGGGGCTCTGGGGAGTTTGAGGGGGTGTTGGGGGATTTACGGGATTTGAGGGGGCTTGAGGGGATTTGGGGGTTTGGGGGATTTTGAGGGGATTTGGGGGAGGGGGAATTGGGGGTCCTGAGGGAGTTTGGGGGATTTGGGGGTTTGGGGGACTTGAGGGGAAATTTGGGGGAATTTGGGGGGGCTTTGGGGAGATTTGAGGAGATTTGGGGCGTCCTGAGGGGTTTGAGGGGAATCTGGGGGAATTTTGGGTGTCCTGAAGGGGTTTGGGGGAATTTGGAGGAATTTGGGGGTCCTGAGGAGTTTGGGGGGAATTGGGGAGTTTGGGGAGGTTTGGGGGTCTGGGGGATTTGGAGGTCCTGGGGTGTTGGGGGAATTTGGGGGATTTGGGGATTTGGGGGCATTTGAGGGTTTTTGGGAGATTTTGGGGGATTTTGGGGAATTTGAGGGGGTCTGAGGGGGATTTGGGGGAAATTTGGGGGTTTCTGGGGATTTGGGGATGGGAGAGGGATTGTGGGGGACTTGGGTGGGATTTGGGAGGTCCTGAGGGCTTTTGGGGAGTTTTGAGGGGGATTTAAAGGGGCCTGGGGGAGGCTTTGGGGGATTTGAGGTCCTGGAGGAATTTGGGAGATTTGGGGGTTTTGGGGTGATTTGGAGGGGATTTAGGGGATTGGGGGAAATTTGGGGGATTTTGGAGAGATTTGGGGGTTTGAGGGGATCTGGGGATTTGGGGGAGTCCTGGGGAATTTTGGGGAGATTTGGGGGATTTTGGGGAGTCCTGGGGAATTTTGGGGAGATTTGGGGGATTTGGGAGAGATTTGGGGGGGTTTTGGGGGATTTGGGGGTCCTGAGGGGATTTTGGGGGAGGCTTTGGGGTGGGGGGTGGGGAGAACGGGGGCTCCTGAGAGAGATTTTGGGGGGAAGTTTGAGGGGGTTGTGGGGGATGGTCCAGAAAGGGGCGTGGCCAGCACTGACCCCTCCCCCTCTCCCCCCCAAAAAAATTCAGGAGGAATTTCGGGGCTTTCTCCCCGAGGAGCTGGAGATGCCCCTCCCCCCACGGCGCTCCCGCAGAGGTCAGAGACCCCCAAAACCACCCAAAATCACCCCGAAATACCCCAAAATCACCCTAAAATTTCCTCAAAATACCCCAAAATACCCTCAAAATACCCCAAAATACTCTAAAATCACCCCAAAACACCCCAAAATCACCCCAAAATCACCAAAAACATCCCAAAATACTCCAAAAACACCCCAAAATCACCCCAAAACACCCCCAAATCACCCCAAAATACCCCAAAATCACCCCAAAATCCCCCCAAAATCCCCCCAAAATACCCCAAAGTCACCAAAAATCATCCCAAGATCACCCAAATCACCCCAAAATTACCCCAAATCACCCCAAAAACCCTCCCAAAATCATTCTGGGACCCCCCATAAACCGCTGGGAGTCCCCCAAAAAGGCCCTAAAACACCTCAAAACCCATTCTGGGACCCTCAAATCCCCCCCTCAGATCCCCCAAAACCCCATGGGGCTCCCAGTATCCCCCTTTTCCCCCACAAAGACCCCCCAAAACCTCCCCTGGGACCCCCACCCCAAAACTCCCCCAAGATTCCCCTAATCCCCCAGGACCCCCTAAAATCCCCTTTTCCTCTCAACACCCCTCAGCACCCCCAAAACCCCTTCCTGGGGCTCCCAAATTCCCCTGGGACCCCCAAATCTTTCTCTTTGCACCCAAGCCCTCTCAGGACCCCCCCAAAATCCCCTTTTCCTCTCCAAAATCCCCTGGGATCGTCAAAGACTTCTTTGATTCTCTCCTGGGCCCCCAAAATCCCCCTTTTGCCCCCCTGGGACTCCCAAACTTTTTTGGGACCCCCAAAATCGTCTCCTGGGATCCCAAACCCCCTCAGAACCCCCTAAAGATGCCTCCAATTCCTTCCTGGGACCCCCAATCCCCCAAAATCCTCCTGGGACCTCAAGCCCCCAAAATCCCCTGGGACCCTCAGTCCTCCTGGGACCCCAAAATCCTTTTTGGAAACCCATGGGACCCCCCATTCCCCTCAGGATCCCTCCAAAACCCCTTTTTCCCTCCAAATGCCCTTTTCCCCCAAAATCCCCCTTTTCCCCAAAATCCCGCTCCCAGGACCCCCAACCCCCTGGGACCCCCAAAGTCCCCCAGTTTCCCCTTTGGACCCCCAAAGACCCCCCAATTCCCCCTGGGACCCCCCAAAATCCCCTGGGACCCCAAAGTCCCCCAAATTTCCCTTTTTCCCCCAGTTCCCCTGGGACCCCCTGGGAGCCCCCAATTCCCCCTGGGACCCCCAAAGAGCCCCCAAGCCCCACCTGGGACCCCAACCTCCCCAGCACCCCAGGAATCCCTCCTGGGACCCCCAACCACCCCCAAGAGCCTCAAAGACCCCCAAAATTCCCCAGGACCCCCCAAAATCCCCCTTTTTCCCCCAAAAATCCCCTTTTTCCCCAAAATCCCCTTTTCCCCCAAAATCCCCCAGGACCCCAAAATCCCCTTTTCCTCCCAAAATCCCCCAGGACCCCTAAAATCCCTCTTGGACTCCCCAAAATTCTTCCAGGACCCCCTAAAATTCCTCTTGGACCCCTAAAATCTCTCTTGGACCCCCAAAATCCCCTTTTCCCCCAAAATCCCCCTTTTTCCCTCCAAAATCCCCCAGGACCCCAAAATCCCCCCAAAATCCTCTCTAGGATCCCCAAATCTCTCTTTTTCTCCTAAGATCTCCTTTTTCCCCAAATATCTCTTTTTTCTCCTAAAATCTCCTTTTTTCCCCCAAAACCCCTTTTTTCCCCAAAATCCCCCAGGACCCCCAAAATCCTCTCTAGGATCCCCCAAATCTCCCTTTCCCCCCAAACCCCCTTTTTCCCCCCAAATCCCCTTTTTCCCCCAAAATCCCCTTTTCCCCCAAACCCCCTTGGACCCCCAAAATTCCCCTTTTCTCCCCAAAATCCCCAGGACCCCAAAATCCCCCAGGACCCCCAAAACCCCCCTTTTTCCCCAAAATCCCCTTTTTCCCCCAAAATCCCCCTCCCCCAAATTTTAACCCCTTTCCCTCCCCTCCCCCAGGTTCCCACCGGAGCCCTCCCCCTCCCGCTCGGGGCGTGGCCTCCCAACCTTCGCCCCGCCCCCCTCGGGCCCGGCTCCGCCTCCTCCGTTACCGGGGCAACCCCTGGGGGCGTGGCCAGCGGAGGGGGCGTGGCCGAGGCGCGGCGAGGGGCGGAGCTTCTTCATCATCAATGACGTCATCATCGGCGACGGCTCCGCCCACTTCTGACCGAGGGGCGTGGCCGGGCGGCGCGGGGGGCGTGGCTTAAAGCGCTTCGTGATGCCATTGGTCAGCGCCCGCTCGGCCCGGCCAATCAGGCCCCCCCGCCGCTTCCAGGACACGCCCACCGGGGGGCGGGGCCACGGCCGAGGGGAGGGCCCCGGGACCCCCCAAAATTCACCCCAAACACCCCAAAATTCACCCCAAACACCCCAAAATCCACCCCAGAGCCCCCAAAATCGACCCCAAACACCCCAAAATTCACCCAAAACACCCCAAAATCGACCCCAAACACCACAAAATCAATCCCAGGACCCCCAAAATCCACCCCAGGACCCCCAAAATCGACTCCAGGACCCCCAAAATCCACCCAAAACACCCCAAAATCAACCCCAGGACCCCCAAAATCGAACCCAGGACCCCCAAAATCGACCCCAGGACCCCAAAATCACCCTGAGAACCCCCAGGATTCCTCTGGGACCCCCCAAAATTCTTCTGGGAACCCCCAAAGTTGCTCTGGGACCCCCCAAAAGCCCCCCAGGACCCCCCAAAATTTCTCTGGGACTCCCCAAAATTCATCTGGGACCCTCAGGGTCACTCTCAGGACCACCCGGGACAACCCCAGGACCCCCAAAATCACCCCAGGACCCCCCAAAATCACCCCAGGACCCCCCAAAATTCCTCTGGGACCCCCCAAAATCACCCCAAGATCCCCCAAAATTCCTCTGGGACCCCCCAAAATCCTCCCAGGACCCCCCAAAATCACCTTAGGACCCCCAAAATCCCCCAGGACCTCCAGGGTCACCCCAAGACCCACCCAGGACCCCCCTGGGACCCCCCAGGACCCCCCTCAGGTCATGGGGGACACCCCAGGACCCCCCAGTGCCTCCCAGAGCCCTCCCAGTATCACCAGGGCCCCTCCCAGTACCCCCAGACCCTTCCCAGTGCCCCCAGACCTGTCCCAGTATCACCAGGACCCCTCCCAGTGCCCCCCAGAGCTCTCCCAGTATCACCAGGGCCCCTCCCAGTGCTCCCAGTTGCCCCCGCCGGGCCATCCTGAGGGCGCCCACCTTCCGCTGGGGCGGCGCTGACGTCATCAGGGACGGCCGTGACGTCATCAGGGACAACGGTGACGTCATCAGGGAGGGCCATGACGTCAGCAGGGACGGCAGTGACGTCATCAGGGGCAACTGTGATGTCATCAGGGACAAGGGTGACGTCATCAGAGGGTCTGGTGACGTCATCAATGGCACCAGTGACATCATCAGGAGCGCCGGTGACGTCACCAGGGGCATCAGGGACGGCCGTGACGTCATCAGGGACGGCGCTGACGTCATCAGGAGTGGCAGTGATGTCATCGGGGACGGTGCTGATGTCATCAGGGATGGTGGTGATGTCATCAGGGACGGCGGTGATGTCATCAGGGATGGCAGTGACATCATCAGGGACGGCGGTGACGTCATCATGGATGGTGGTGACGTCATCGGGGTCACCCCAAGGACATCCAAGGACCCCCTGGTGACATCCAAGGACTCCCTGGTGGCACCTGGGGACACCCAAAGGACCCCCAGGGACACCCCAAGGACCTTCAGGGACCCCCCAAGGACACCCAAGGACCCCCTGGTGGCACTTGGGGACCCCCAAAGGACACCCAAGGACCCCCTGGTGGCACCTGGGGACACCCTGAGGACCCCCAGGGACACTCAAAGGACATCCAAGGACACCCAAAGGACACCCAGGGACCCCCTGGGGACATCCAAGGACCCCCTGGTGGCACCTGGGGACCCCCAAAGGACACCCAAGGACCCCCTGGGGACCCTGCAGGCCACCCTGGCGGCGTTTGGGGACGCCCTGGTGGCCTCGGGCCACCCCCTGGGGACGGTGAGGGACACCCTGGTGGCCCTGCAGGAGACCCTGGTGGCCTCCCAGGACACCCTGGGCATGCTCAAGGACAGCCTGGGGACAGCCCAGGACACCCTGGTGGCATCTGGGGACACCCTGGGGACATCCCAGGACACCCTGGGCATGCTCAAGGACACCCTGGGGACACCCCAGGACACCCTGGTGGCACTTGGGGACACCCTGGGGACATCCCAGGACACCCTGGGCATGCTCAAGGACAGCTTGGGGACAGCTGGGGACACCTTGGGGACATCCAAGGATCTCTTGGTGGCACCTGGGGACACCCAAAGGACATCCAAGGACCCCCTGGTGGCTTCCCAGGACACCCTGGGCATGCTCAAGGACACCCTGGGGACATCCCAGGACCCCTTGGGGACATCCCAGGACCCCCTGGTGGCACTTGGGGACCCCCAAAGGACATCCAAGGACACCCTGGTGGCCTCCCAGGACACCCTGGGCATGCTCAAGGACACCCTGGGGACATTCCAGGACACCCTGGTGGCACCTGGGGACACCCAAAGGACATCCAAGGACCCCCTGGTGGCACCTGGGGACCCCCAAAGGGCATCCAAGGACACCTTGGGGACAATCCAGGACCTTCTGGTGGCACCTGAAGACTCTCAAGGGACATCCCAGGACCCCCTGGGGACATCTGGGGACACTTTGGTGGCATCTGGGGATGCTTTGGGGACATCCCAGGACCCCCTGGTGGCATCTGAAGACCTTCAAGGGACATCCCAGGACCCCTTGAGGACAATCCAGGATCCCCTGGGGACATCCAAGGACCTCCTGGTGGCATCTGGGGACACCCAAAGGACCTCCAAGGATGCCTCGAGGACATTTGGGGACACCCTGAGGACATCTAAGGACACCTTGGGGACAATCCAGGACCCTCTGGGGACATCCAAGGACCCCCTGGGGACATTTGGGGACACCCAAAGGACATCCAAGGACCCCCTGGTGGCATCTGGGGACATTTTGGGGACATCTGGGGACACCCAAAGGACATCCAAGGACCCCCTGGTGGCACCTGGGGACACTTTGGGGACAATCCAGGACCTCTTCGGGACATCCAAGGACCCCCTGGTGGCACTTGGGGACACCCAAAGGACATCCAAGGATCCTCTGGGGACAATCCAGGACCCCCTGGGGACATCCCAGGACGCCCTGGTGGCACCTGGGGACACCCAAAGGACATCCCAGGACCCCCTGGGGACATCCAAGGACCCCCTGGGGACATCCAAGGACCCCTTGGGAACATCTGGTGACACTTTTGGGATGCCCCAGGACCCCCTGGTGGCACCTGGGGACATTTTGGGGACATCCCAGGACCCCTTGGTGGCACCTGGGGACACTTTGGGGACAATCCAGGACCTCTTGGGGACATCCAAGGACCCCCTGGTGGCACCTGGGGACACTTTGGGGACATCCAAGGGCCCCCTGGGGACAATCCAGGACCCCCTGGGGACCTCCCAGGACCCCCTGGTGGCATCTGGGGACACCCAAAGGACATCCCAGGACCCCCTGGTGTCACCTGGGGACACTCAAAGGACATCCCAGGATCCCCTGGTGGCGTCTGGGGACACCCTGGGGACATCCCAGGACCCCCTGGTGGCACCTGGGGACACTTTGGGGACATCCAGGACACCCAAAGGACCTCCAAGGACACTTTGGGGACATCCCAGGACCCCCAAGGGACCTCCCAGGACCCCCTGGGGCCCCCCCGTGACCCCCCGTTGACCTTGCGGGTGGTCCACGTGACCCTCAGGCCCCTCCCCCTTCGATCCCGTGACCCCCGGGTGGTCCTCAGGCCCCTCCCCCTCCCCTCGGGTGACCCCCGGGTGACGTCATCGGGCCCTCTCCCGGCCCCGCCCCCTCCTGCTCCGCCAATCCCTGCCCGGCCCCGCCCCTTCGGCCCCGCCCCCCGGCCCGGCCAATCACCTGGCCCTGCCCCCTCACTCCCGGGGGGCCACGCCCCTTCCGGGGGGCGATGACGTCATCATGGGGCGTGATGACGTCACCTCAGGGTCCAATGACGTCATCACAAGGTCCAGTGATGTCATCACGGGAGGCAATGACGTCATCCCAGGAGGCAATGACATCATCAAGGGAGGCAATGACGTCATCCCAAGGATCAATGACGTCACCCCGAAGACCAGTGACGTCATGGTGGGGCCCAATGACGTCATCCCCAGGCCCAGTGACGTCACCCCGAGGTCCAGTGACGTCATCCCAAGACCCAATGACGTCATCCCGGGGGCCAATGACATCACCATGAAGACCAATGATGTCACCATGAAGACCAATGACGTCATCGCAGAGCACAATGACATCACCTCGGTGCCCAATGACGTCACCATGAAGCCCAGTGACATCACCCCGGTGCCCAATGACGTCATCCCTGTGCCCAATGACATCACCATGAAGCCTAGTGACATCACCCCAGTGCGCAATGACGTCATCTGGGGGGCCAATGACATCACCATGAAGACCGATGACATCACCATGAAGACCAATGACGTCATCTTGGGCCACAATTACGTCATCCCGGTGCCCAATAACATCACCACGAAGACCAGTGACATCACAATGAAACCCAATGACATCACCACGAAGTCCAATGACGTCACCATGAAACCCAATGACGTCACCACGAAGCCCAATGACATCACCACGAAGCCCAATGACGTCACCATGAAACCCAGTGACGTCACCATGGAACCCAATGACATCATCACGAAGTCCAATGACATCACCCCGGTGCCCAATGACGTCATCATGAAGCCCAGTGACATCACCACGAAGCCCAATGACGTCATCATAGTGCCGAATGACATCACCATGGTGCCCAATGACATCACCATGAAGACCAATGACATCATCCCTGTTCCCAGTGACGTCACCATGAAGACCAATGACGTCATCCCTGTGCCCCATGATGTCACCACAAGGACCAATAACGTCACCACAAAGCCCAATGACATCACTACGAAGCCCGATGACGTCACCATGAGGCCCGATGACGTCACTCTGGTGTGTGATGACGTCACGGGCCGGGTGTTGGACCTGCTGAGCCGAGCGAAGCTGCAGCTGGGGCGAATCGACCGCCGGCACCGGGTGAGGCACAGGGGATTGAGGGGTCTGGGGGCTTGGGGGTTTGAGGGGATTTGGGGGATTTGGGGGATTTGAGGGGATTTGGGGGGATTTGGGGGTTTGAGGGGGATTTGGGGGATTTGGGGGTTTGGGGGATTTGAGGGGATTTGGGGATTTGGGGGATTTGGGGGTTGAGGGATTTGGGGGATTTGGGGGATTTAGGGGATTGGGGATTTGGGGGATTTGAGGGGGATTTGGGGGATTTGGGGGTTTGAGGGGATTTGGGGGATTTGGGGGTCTGGGGATTTGGGGGATTGGGGGATTTGGGGGATTTGGGGGATTTGAGGGGGATTTGGGGGATTTGGGGGATTTGGGGGATTTGAGGGGATTTGGGGGGATTTGAGGGGTTTGAGGGGATTTGGGGGTATGGGGGATTGGGGATTTGGGGGATTTAGGGGATTTGGGGGATTTGGGGGATTTAAAGGGGGATTTGGGAGGGACTTGGGGAGTTTGGGGGATTTGGGAGGTTTGGGGGATTTGGGGGCTTGGGAACTTGGGCCTGATTTGGGGGTTTGGGGGATTTTGGAGTTTGGGTGATTTGGGGGTTTGGAGGGATTGGGGATTTGGGGGATTTGGGGGATTGGAGGGGTTTGGGGGACTTGGGACCGGATTTGGGGGTTTGAGGGGATTTGGGGGATTTGGGGATTTGAGGGGATTTGGGGACTTGGGACCTGGTTTGGGGGTTTAAAGGGATTTGGGGGATTTGGGGGTTTGGGGGATTTGGGGGATTTGGGGAGTTAAAGGGGATTTGGGGGCTTGAGGGGGATTTGAGGGCTTTGAGGGATTTGGGGGATTGGGGGTTTGAGGGGCTTGGGGGATTTGGGGGTTTGAGGGGATTTGGGGGTTTGAGGGGATTTGGGGGCTTTAGGGGAATTGGGAGGTTGGGGCATTTGGGGAGGATTTGAGGAGGAGTGGGTGAATTTGGGGGATTTAGGGATTTGAGGGGATTTGGGGGAGTTGGGAGAGTTTGGGGGTTTGGGGGGATTTGGGGGTTGGACAGTTTGGGAGGTTTGGGGGATTGGGTGACTTGGGACCTTATTTGGGAGGGGGTTGGGGGTTTGAGGAGGATTTGGGGGCTGTGGGGGATTTGGGGATTTAAGGGGACTGGGGGATTTGGGGGGTTTAAAGGAGGATTTGTGGGGTTTGGGGGACTTGGGTGAGATTGGGGGATTTGGGGGTTTAGAGGATTTGGGGAGGTTTGGGGGTTGAGGGGATTTGGGGATTTGAGGGGATTTGGGGGTTTAAAGGAGGATTTCTGGGGTTGGGGTTTAGGGAATTTGGGGGTTAGGGCATTGAGGGGAGTTTGGGGGATTTGGGGGATTTGAGGGGGTCTGGGGAGGATTTGGAGGGGCTTGTGGGGGTTTCAGGGCATTTGGGGGCTGGGGCTTTGGGGGCATTTGGGGATTTAAGGAGTTTGGGGGATTTGGGGACTTGGAGGCAATTTGGGGGATTTGGGGTTAAAAATTGGAGGTTTTGGGGTGGTCTGGGAGGATTTGGGGACCCCCAAATTCACTTTTTCTTCCTCTCCCCTCCCAGGTGGGATCTGAAGAATCAGAAAACCCCGAGGGAGACCCCCAGGTGAGGGGGAGGGATTTTGGGGGTCTTTGGGGTTTTTGGGGAGATTTGGGGCTTTGGACTTTTTGGAGGGCTCTTTGTGGGTGATTTGGGGTTTTTTGGGGATTTGGGGATTTTGGGGGGCTTTGGGGGATCTTTGAGGTGTTTTGTGGTTTTTGGGGAGATTTTGGGGGTCTTTGGGTGTGTGGGGCATTTGGGGGTCTCTGAGCATTTGGGGGCTTTGGGGGTCTTTGGGGGATTTGGGGTTTTGGGGATTTTGGGAATCTTTTGGGGTTTGAGGGGTCTTTAGTGTTTGGGGTTTTTGAGGAGTCTTTGGAGGGCATTTAGGGTTTTTGGGGATTTGGGGATTTTGGGGGTTTGGGGGTCCTTGGGTGTTTGGGGGATCTAGGGGAGTTTGGGGTCTTTGAGTGCTTGGGGCTTGTTTTGGGGGTCTTTGGGGTCTTGGGATTTTTTGGGTGGTCTTGGGGCTTTTTTGAGGGGAATTTCGGAGGTTTTTGGGTTTTGGGGATTTGGGGGTCTTTGGGTTTTTGGGGTTTTTTGGGGGTCTAGTGTGCTGGGGGTCTGTGGCCTGGGGTTTGACCTTGACCCCAGGGGTCCCCTCGGATCAAACACGTTTGTCGCCGCGCCCTCCCCACCTGAGACTCCCCAGGAGCCCCCCAGGAGCCCCCCGACCTCCAACCCCCTGAAGGTGAGAGACCCTCCCCAAATCCCTGGGACCCCAAAACCCCCCAGGATCCCCCCAAAATAACCCCCAAAATATTCTGGGACCTCCAAAATCTGCCCCAGGACCCCCAAAATCCCTCCCCAAACCCCCCCAGAGACCTCCCAGGAGCCCCCTGACCTCCAACTCCCCTGAAGGTGAGAGACCCTCCCCAAAATCACTGGGACCCCCAAAATCCTCCCAAATATCCTGAGACCCCCAAAATCCCCCAAAATCCCCTTCCAGGACCACCCAGGACCCCCAAATCCCTCCCAGGACCCCCAAAATCCCCTCAGGAGCCCCCCAGGACCCCCCCTGACCTCCAACCCCCTGAAGGTGAGACACCTCCCCCAAAATCACTGGGACCCCCAAAATCCCCCCCAGGACCCCCCAGAGCCCCCAAAATCCCTCCCAGGACCCCCAGGACCCCCAAAACTGCTCCAGGACCCCAAAATCCCCCCAGGAGCCCCCCCAGGAGCCCCCCCCGACCTCCAACCCCCCTGAAGGTGAGAGCCTCCCCCAAAATCCCTGGGACCCCCAAAATTCCACTCCCCCCAAAATCCCCTGAGACCCCCAACCCTCCCAGAACCCCCCCAGGAGCTCCCCCAGGAGCCTCCCAGACCTCCAACCCTCCTGAAGGTGAGACCCCCCCAAAATCCCTGGGACCCCCAAAATCCACCCCCAGGACCCCCCCAGACTGCCCTAGGACCCCCAAAACTGCTCCAGGACCCTCAAATCCCTCTCAGATCCAAAGCCCCCTAGACCTCCAACCCCCCTTGTAAGTGAGAAATCCCTCCCAAGCTCCTGACTCCCAAAATCCCCTCCAGGACCCCCCAAACTCTCCCAGGACTCCCTCAAAATCACTCCTCCAAAATATTCTAGACCACAAACCCCCCTAGGAGACCCCCAGAGCTCCCCTGACCTCCAACCCCCTGAAGGTGAGAGACCCTCCCAAAATCCCTGGGACCCCCAAAATCCCCCAAATTCTCAAATCTCGACCCTCAAACCCCCCAGGACCTCCCTAAAACTCCCAGGACTCCCCAAACCTCTCCAGGACCTCCAAAATCTCCCAAGACTCCCCCAGGACTCCCTCCCTGACCTCCAACCCCTGAAGGTGAGACTCCCCCCCAAATCACTGGGACCCCCAAATCCCCCCAAATCCCCCAAAGCCCCCCACCAACTCCCCAAATCCCCCAGATCCCCCCCAAATCCTCTCAAACCTCCCCTCAAATCCTCCCCAGACTCCCTAAATCCCCCAAATCACCCGCAGACCCCTTTTAACCCCCTAAACTCAGACTCCCTAAATCCCCTCAAATCCCTCAGACCCCCCTTTAACTCCCCCGAAACTTCCCCAAATCCCCCCAGATCTCTTTAACCCCCCCCAAATCCCCCCAACACCCCCAAATCCCCCTAGACCCCCTTTTAACTCCTTTTAACCCCAAATAACTCATTTTTTTATATATTTTTATTCCCCCCAGACTCTTCCTCCGAGGCCGAAGCCTCTCGACTCCAAACTCCAAATCCTCCCTCAAATCCCCTCCAAATCCTCCCCAAAACCCCTCAAATCCCCTATCCTCAAATTCCCCAACTCCCCCAGTCCCCTTTTAACCCTTTTAACCCCAAATAACTCATTTTTAATATATTTTTATTCCCCCCCAGACTTCCTTCCTCCGAGGCCGAAGCCTCTCGATCTCCAAACCCCCCAAATCCCTCCTCTCAAATCCCCTCAAACTCCCCCCAAATCCCTCAAAACTTCCCAAATCCTCAACTCCCCCAGACCCCTTTTAACCCTTTTAACCCCAAATAACTCATTTTTTTAATGTATTTTTATTTCCCTGTCCAGACTCCTTTCTCCGAGGCCGAAGCCTCCTGACTCCCAAACTCCCCCCAAATCCCTCCCCAAATCCTCAACCTCAAATCCCCCCCAAACCTCCCTCAAACCCTCCCAATCTCTCAAATTCTCCCCCAGACCCCTTTTAACCCTTTTAACCCCAAATAATTCATTTTTTTAATATATTTTATTCCCCCCAGACTCTTTCCTCCCAGGCCGAAGCCTCGACCCAAACTCCCAAATCTCCTCAGACCCCCTCAAATCCCCCCAACCCCTCCCAAATCCCCCCTAGACCCCTTTTTAGCTCTTTTTAACCCCAAATAACTCATTTTTTTAATAATATTTTTATTCCCCTCTCCAGACTTCCTTCCTCCGAGGCCGAAGCCTTCGACCCAAACCCCCCAAATCCTCCT